GTGCACGATGCTTTTGTGTGGGTTTGACTGAACTGAGAGGGTAAAGTCTGATTCCCAGCCCAAAGTGACCCACTTTCCCTTTCAACATCTTTTCCTTCATGTTTCAACAGGGCTTTGCGGAACCTTGCCTAGTGGAAGGTGTCCCTGCCCATGGCAGAGGGTTGGAACTAGATGAGCTTTAAGGTCTCTTCCAACCTTAACCATTCTACGATTCACTAATTCACCTGCTTGTACTACTCCCTGGGATCCCTGGGGAGCATAAAGGCTTGAATAAACAAGAAGGAATCATAATCCTGTAAGCACAGCACACACAAATACATTAAGTAGTCATGGAAATAGGGATCTGGAATGGGAATGTATCAGCTCCAAAGCATCAAATAAATTGAGAGGTAGAAAGTGTCATCATCTGCCCATGGCAACAGCCACTGCACCTGTGGGAGGTCACTGGAAGGAGAATTTTAGCATGGGCCTCTGAACATCGTATGCAGGCTGAGCCCTTCTGTCCTCATCTAATAGCTAAGTGAGGTGTGACACAGTCACTAAGTAACATTTCTTAACGAAATACACTCAAGCGAGTGAGCTGGGCATGCCCCAAAGGCCAGCTTAGCACGTAGCAGACCCATGGTCCACGCATGGGGCTGCTCACATCTGCCCTACCTCCAAGTTCCAGCTCTAGGATGGTTGAGCTGTCAAATCATCAACTCTACAGTTTGTTGGAACAGAGCTGGAACAGCCATTCTTCAGCAAAAACTTGTTTCGACAAGCTGTCCCTGTGGACCCAAAGCCAGCTCCTGAGAAACTTTGTGACCAGAACAAATAGGTATATCCACGCCGGTAATTTTGCATCAAGAGCTGCACACTAGGGCAAAGAAAACAGGGGCAGAGGACTAACTACATTTAATTTTCTGACTGACAGCTCTGTTGCTCCATTCTAAGGACAGATAAAAAGGAAATTAACCCTACATCTCACTAGAGAGAACTGAGGGGAGGCAAGAACAAAAAGATGTAGGTATGTATATGTTAGTAGTTAGAGGGAGACTGAAGTGGTCAAAATCTTCCTAACAACCCCCAGAAGCTATGCGAGTTAATGTCCCCACCTGGGACAATCTCTGGAGTGGACAGGTGAGACAGTTCTGGGCTTTGAGGTGAAGCTCTGAAGCCTCAAGCTCAGCCAACCGCTGAGGGAGGAGGGGCGGCTGCTTGTTCCTCACCTCAAACAAATCCTACTCATGTTGCTTTGTCATTTGGTTGATGTTTTAGCTCCCACAATAAGACCATTACTTACCTTTGATCCACCCCATGGAGACTTTCTTGGTTTAAGAGATATTTTCCACACGATTGGAAAAGATATTCTTTCTAAGCCTATGAAAGCAATCCTGGTGTCTGCCAGAGTTCTGCTTGAGCAGATTTATTAAAGGAGGCCAAACGAAACTTCCCATGACCCAGTACATTTCAAAGAAAGCATCAGGAGCACAGGGCTAAAATAGTTTATCTTGGCTATTGGATTTATTTTGGCTGTAACAAATAGTTTGGCTTCCTGCCCTATCAGTTTGCCAATGAAAATACAGATCCAAGGTTTTCAGACTGCAGGGTTGTAGCAATTCTGAAAAATGACAAAGTGAAACTCATACCAGCTAATAAAGAGCTATTCATGCTATAAATGCCCTCTTGTGCTGCTTTCCACATACTGTAACTCAGCTTCTGGAAATATTGGTCCTGTTCACCCTAACTTTGATCTCAGAGATATATGCTGCAGGGAGTCAGACGGATGCTCTCGTTACAAGCAACCTCTCTGATTTCTAAGCAGTGTATTATTCCTCTCCTACTAAGACACAATGCTATCCTATTTTTTTATTATTGGGAATAAGCCGACATTGGGGAATATAACTTCTGAAACAGGCTACCAAAACATCTGTTTGTGCTGGAGATGGTAATCCAGCATTATCAGATGTCAGTGAGATGCATCAAAGGTAACACTCTCACTTTTTCCTCTCTCTCCATTGGTATAGGGAGTATATCCAGTGCTGTTATTGCAATTCAGTACTGCAATATTCCCTTCTCAAGGAATCCTCACACACACGATTGCTCTCCACTATTATGTGGCTGCTTCCAGGAATGCTCCCTCCAACCACCCATCAATGCAGCAATGGGAGGACCTCCAAACCACCCAATGTCCAAACCCTGCCCACAGCTTGCAAACAGAGCTGGTTCTGATGATGGATTGACCTACAATACAGATTCTGCCCTTGGAACTAAGTCAATGACTACAGCAGTGCTATATAAGTCAATAAACCAACTCACGTTATTTAGCAAAATAGGCTTTTGTAAGTAAAGGCAAAAGATGCAGAAAGAGGTATTCATACACAGAACTCTTCTTGTCCTGAAGAACTTTAAATGGAGATTTCATTTGTCAATCTGTGGCTATCTATGTAAGTGAAAACTGAAGGTTATCTCCCTCCTTTAAAAATCAGTGGGAAGTAAGAAGTATTCAGTTCAAGATAGAATCCCAGACTGGTTTGGGTTGGAATGGACCTTAAAGCTCATCCAGTTCCAACTCCCTGTACGGACAGGGACACCTTCCACTAGACCAGGCTGCTCCGAGCCCCATCGAATCTAGCCTTGAACACTGCCAAGGATGGGGCATTGTTCTAACTCTCAAGATTAGGAGTGAGGTGTTGTGGAGTCTGTGACTCTAAATGTTCTATTCCCCTTTCTTGATATTATTCTTGGTATATAAGTCACTGCTATGGTGACAGAGGTACCAACTCACAAAACCATTTTATTACATTATTAGTCCCACAGACCCAGAATCTAAAGACCACTCATGTATTTACAGACTATGAAGACTTGGTTTGTTTGGTTTTTTTTTTACCCTACAGGATGACCAGAAAAGGAAATGATACACAGAGATGAGTGAAGGCACAGATTTCTCTGGAAATGTCATTCACAAGCTCAACAGCTTTCTTATTCTCTCCTTTTCCTCAACCTGGAATCTGAACCTTATACACTAAGTAAAGAGCTGCAAAGACTGGGGCTCCTCTAAGATACGAGCAGTAGAAGTTTGAGCTGACACAATTCTGCCAGGGACACTTCTCAGCTCTTACTCCAGGTGTTTTAACAGAAACCACAGTGCTACTCAGACATTTTTTTTCCTCACTCCTAGGCCAAAATTACAGCCACAAGTCTGAATAAAAGTCACAGCCCAGAGGAAAAGCAGTGACTGTTAGTACAATAAATGCTGCAAAACTCAGGCGTAAATTGATTTATTTGAGGAAAGCACAAAGTGCTTTAGTGAAAGGATGCATTATTAACGCAGCAACAGCTACTGGTGCTTTATCTGAAATAGGATTTTATACTGGGCTTTGCATCAGCCTCTTTACTATAGGTTTCCCTAACAAAAAATTAAAAATAAAGGGTCTGATCTTTCAAAAAAAGGGGCAGCAGGAAAGCATTCAAATATTCCCAGCAGCCAGACTTAATGGAGGTTTCCAGATTGTAACTAAACTGGTTAAGTTAGTGACAAAGCAGCAGCTGGATTCCAGCTTTCTATTTCAGTAAGACACTAAATCTTCCAAATATGCCAATGCTACACGAAGTGTCACTTTTAAAAACATTACAGAATAGCAAACGATGTAAGATGGCCAGATAGGGAAAAAAAGCTGCCACAAAAAGAAATATGCCATTTCCATCTGAAAGATCAGTTTTAACATTACTTGATTACTCAAGCTAAATAAAAATAACTGTACTTTCTAGAAGGAAAACGGATATCTTGAATTGAATACTGACTTTGGAGCAAAGAACCCATGCTTTTTCCACACAAGAGGTGAAATGTTGATGTAAAACCTTGTTAATAATGATGTATCAACTCATTTCTGCACACTAACTTTTCTTTAGCCTTTATTTTGTGCGTACAGCTATTTTACCCTATACACAGATGTAAACTCATTTCCCCATAGTGAACTGCCCCATCAAAGTTCACACAGCAAAAAGGTTCAGTGCAAGTACAGAAAATGCCTCACTCTCTCCATCTCGTGGGCATAAATGAATGTTGCAGCATGTCTTTACCACTGGGAACCCTGACTCAGGAAAACATTTAATTACGTGCAACAGTATGTTCATATATAGATATATTTTCTTAACATGCACTTAAAGCTCAAATCATGCGCTTAAATCTCAGTGACTAAACTAGCTGTGACAATGAGCTGTCTCTCCAAATGCTTATTAAAACTAGTAGAATATCTTTGTTTTGTTTCTTTCTCCAAATAACCACAGCAATCACAGAATCATAGAATAGTTAGGGTTGTAAAGGACCTTAAGATGGTCCAGTTCCAACCCCCCTGCCATTATTTATTAATTCTCCAAATAATCCAAAAATCATCACAGCAGGTTGAAGGATTTGATCCTGCCCTCTCCTCTACACCCCACTTGCAGTTCTGGTGTCCTCAACAAAAGAAGGGTGTGGAGCTGCGGGAGCAAGCCTAGAGGAGGCCACAAGGACTATCAGGGGCTGAAGCATCTCCCGTATGAAGACAGTCTGAGAACATTGGGGCTGTTCAGCATGGAGAAGAGAAGCTGCGTGGAGACCTCACAGCAGCCTGCCAATATCTGAAGGGGGCCTACAAGGATGCTGGAGTCTCTTCATCAGGGACTGTAGTATTAGGTCAAGGGGCAATGGGTTAAAACTCAAACAGGGGAGATTTAGGTTACATACAAGGAACACATTCTTTCCTGTGAGGGTGGTGAGGCACTGGAACAGGCTGCCCAAGGAAGTTGTGGCTGCCCCATCCCTGGCAGTGTTCAAGGCCAGGTTGGACACAGGGGCTTGAAGCAACCTGGTCTAGTGGAAAGTGTCCCTGCCTATGGCAGGGGGTGGGACTGGATGAGCTTTAAGGTCCCTTCCAACCCAACCCATTCTATGATTCTATGAATACAGTGTCATTAAACACACTTGGAGAATCATATACAGTAGAATATTTAAGAAGAAAATTAAAGGCACTTACCCACTCGTGATGTCATCAGCTCTGATATTCTTGCCCAGCACATCCCCATCGCTCATATAGCCAGTGGCATCCATGGCAATGCCCTCCAGATCGATTTCATCACTTCCCTTGTCGGAGATGTCCACATGGCAGACACTGCTGCCGCGAGATGCCAGCTGCCTCCGCAGTGGTGCCGAATACATGTAGCGTCCTGATTCTGCGTTGATGAAGCGGCTGGCATTCCCTCGTGGAGGATACCCGTTTCCTATTGATGGAGCGTCACCTGCCTGCAGGCGAGGGCTGGACTGCCCCAATCTCCACGATAAAGGGGTCGGTCGTCCTGTCAAGCTCAGGATGCTACGGCCGCTGATCTCGGTGGTGACGTTGGTGTCAAAGGTAGTTTCCAATGTACTTAAAGAAAGAAATGCACTTGATTGAGTGTGGCCTAATGTGTGGTTTCAGTTGATTGCAAGACCCTACACCCTGAACATTCACCAAGTTACAGACTCTGTGTAACAGCATTAACAGAACTTACCTGCCACAACACCTTGAGACAGGTCCATTCACCCAGCACAGCTCTTAAATAATGCTACTCTTGCACCCAGGCCCCCAAGTGTTCATCATATAATTATTTCCCTGCCCATGGCAGAGGGGTTGGAACTAGATGATCTTAAGGTCCTTTCCAACCCTAAACTATTCTATGATTCTGTGATTCTATTCTATGAGTGTTCGGCTGATATGTATAGACTGCAGGACAGCTTAGTTGCAGCTAATCCATAGCTGCACCTTCTCAGACCCACATGAGCTTTGTTTTTCCTTCCCTGCTCGAGCAACACAGTGTTACTTTTTGTTTTACTGTGGATATTTGCTAAAATAAGCAGCATTGTACTATTTGCAATATAAAGTTACATATACACTGCAAACCCCTATGTATCCTTCAGTTAGAGTAATTAAATCATAGTGAGCTGTCACATTAATTGAAAGTTGAAAAGAAAAACAACTTTGCAAGCTGTGCCTCAATTTTAGGTACAAAGCTAAAACACAAAGTGTTCGCCTCCTTGAACTCATTTGGGACTGAAGTCTACATGGCACTGAGCTCCAAGTATGACCCTGACCTCATTAGGGGCCAAAGAGCTTATTCTCCCAAGCTTCAACACTGAAAAGATCCAAGTCACAGAATGTTCAAACGTAATAATAGTCTTTGTTTATTTAGAGCGTATTTTAAATCTAGCTGAAGATTTCCAAATGCTGCTTTACAAAGAAAAAAGCAGTTCTATACATGGTTGACTAATAATATTAGAGAAATTTATTTGTGCAAAGATTGGTCAGGAATTCAAGTTATGCACTTTATCAAGTGGGTCAAGCACAGTTCACCTGCTTATTTAAACATAATATTTCACATTAGAGGAAGGGTGTGTAATGCACTGAAGTTGTTAAAGAGTAAGAAACATTTGAAACTGTAACCTATATTCAAACATGACTCAACACATTTAACAAGCACTGATTATTCCCCACTTTTGATTCTATATACAACCTGCCACCATCAATTACAGAATAAATTACTCAGAATACACCTCAATAAACACCGAACATGACTCAGAATCTGTGCTTTAAAGACCGAAAGTACAAGATCAGTATCTTCCACTGTCAGTGGTGATCATTTCTCAAGGACACGTCCCACCCAGATCTAAGAGACAAAGTAGGAGCACAGTGATTTCCACGTTTTTCTTGTAAGCAAAGCCATGCCATTACCTGTGAGTGACCTGGGTTCCTCTCAAACTGGACATGGTTTCCTCTAAGTTCTGCCGGAGATCAGCGATGTTTTTCACAGTTCGTAACCGCCGAGTTTCTGGATCCTCTCCTACAGGGAAAATAAGCCATGAGAAAGGAAGAGGCAGGAAACAGCACACACCTGAGCCATTACCTCTGCCTCAATCTGCCTCAAACACATTTTTTAATCTGATTTCGTGTTCTTTAGCCCTTTAAACTGGTGATGATGGAGATAACATTCTCCTATGGCTGGCACCTGCTGTTGCTGCAGCCAGGCTGAGAACGAGCTCTGTACTGTTAACTTTATTTTACAGGCTGCCTTTGCACCAGAGCTTTCTGTGCTGTCATTTCCCCATATGACCCAATTTAAATTCTGGTTAACTTTCAACCTCATTAGAAGATCTGCTCCATCAATACCACCCTTTCCATCTCTTGTATCGACACAATTAACAACAACCCGACACAGCCAGTCTCTCCAGTGCTGTTTTCACCAGATCTCCCTTTTCTCAATTTAAATAGATATCATTTCTACCACATGAGCTTACCAATAAACCAGATCATGTTCACTGGGTGCTCTGTGCTGAGTGATGTTTTAGGTAAAATGGCAAAACTTCATGCTTGTCAACATCACAACACAGTTATTACTTACATGTGCTACATGACATGTAGTTGGGGGGTAACTTTTAGCTGCCCCTGCATTTAGAAATCCCATTCTTTAAATACTCTGTTCTAAAACACATTTATGCACTGTTTTTTAAAAGTGGCTTATATTCATTGAAAAAAAAATCCTCATAGTGCCTCAGCATAATTTATTTCTACAAAATGAAGAATTTAATTAGTGCTTCAGCAGAATGTATTTACTCACTCTCAGCTGTGAACTGAGAAATGTTTCGAATGCTAGCTCAACTGAGTTATATATAGATAAACCTTCAAAGAGGTTGAAGAGAAGTGAATTTCTAGGAATGCAAATAACACCCTTTGTAAACTGAAACAGAAAACCTCCAAAAAGCTGTCACAAAGCTTCTGCTGGGCACAGAGGAAATGATTTCATTCTAAAGGGTTTACAACTCATAACCAAAGAAAATACTACAGCAAATTTAAAACTTGTCAAATTTTGTATCTGCCTTCTCTGCACAAGTGATGCATTCTTAAGCTGCCAGGATATTGGTCATCCCTGCAACTGCTAGTTTAGATGGCTATCTATATTACACAAATCAGAAGTATTAAGGACCACATAAATAATCATAGAATCACAGAACAGTTTGGGTTGGAAGGGACCTTAAAGCTCCCTGGAACGGGCAGGGACACCTTCCACTAGACCACGTTGCTCCAAGACCCTGTGTCCAACCTGGCCTTGAACACTGCCAGGGATGGGGCAGCCACAGCTTCTCTGGGCAACCTGTGCCAGCTGCTGTTGGAACATGCCCCATTTTTTGCTTTAAAATTTCATGTTTCTGAAAGATGCCAGGTTGGTGGCACAGTAAAACCAAGTCACAGCCTCTTGCCTGCAAGGCAGCAGTAGCACAAACAACTCATCAAAGTGCTGGAGCCCTGACTATGGGGGAACTATTTCGAGAGGGGAAGATAGACTTTAATGTTTATATCATCGTTAGCCTTTCTGAGATGAACAACAATGGCTCAACAATGGCTCAGGTAATGTCCACATTAGCAATTTTTTTTAATGGATCTCTACTTCTCCAGAAATAATTTCTCTGAGATACAATTCACTTAGGCCAAATAGTCCAACAATTAAGTCCTGGCTGGAGTGGAAATAACTGCCTCGCAAGACCCATTCCTTTAGCCAGTGCGTCTCTGGAACAGAAAGCATTTTCTACACTCATGGATCTACAATTTTTTTAAGTAAAGAACATCAAATATTTATAGGCCTCTAGCCTAACAAAGGTCACAGTGCTCTTTTACAGATCGTTTCTCTCACAGATATGAAGGCAAATGGTAGATAACTGCCTAAGAGAACAAACATGAGACAAACTAAACCTGTTTCTACTGAGATCACTCTTGTGCTGAAACTGATACCCAGTTTTTACTGAAATGGCATTCAATTGCTTAAATTGTAAGTATACTTATAAGACAAACATTGCATAGTGCCACTAGAAAATATTAAATCACTTAGCTCTTCATGAGCAGACAGCATCATTAAACTATTTAGCTTCCTTTTTTCCCTACCTGTGCTCTCTTTTGGTTTATATGTGCTTTTAAATTAGAAGCATCAATAGTTTCTATGTAAGAAGAGAAGAAATCTGTCCCTTATTTCTTCTAATTCATTTGGGTTGAGAGACCATTCTGTTTCATATGCTCCATCTTCCCTAAGATCCCTCTATGTACTGATGCTGTCAGAGGGGTTTGGCTCCATGCAGCTGGGTTCTGCATCCCCACTGTTTGAGGCTGTCAACCATCTTCCATTTTTAGATATCAAAACTTACATATTCTACTTGAACAAAAAATCTCAAGGATGTGCCATTTATTTTCCTTTTAAATATTTAATCCACCTAGGTATAAATTGTACACACAGATATGCTCATTTACACATTCTCCTCACCAATGACTCTGCCTTTTGCCTTTGCCACCAGCAAATGTGCAGCCAGGTATAAACCCAGCACTGACAGAATATGTACAGTATAAAATTAATTCAGTTATGAAACTTCTAGCCACATGATTGTTCCAAGCAGGACAATCAGTTTCAAAACTCACATTAAGCTGGAGGACACCAAGATTAAGTGGATGAAAAAACCTTACTGGTGAGAAATATTCCAGTAGTATGCAGTAAGCAAAGTCATTGACCCTGCTGAAATTGGAATAGGAGGAGACTTGACTGTGACTAAACCCATATTTTAGATCTTTAGTAAAACATGGTTGCTAAAAATAGTTTTATCAATAAGCTTAAAAATTATGCTTAAAAATTATTGCTAATCATCATATACTTCTTTCAGGAGCATGAATTCTAGATAAATATATGACATACTTTCTAATTTAGACTGCTAATATTCTAACTTAAATCAGTGACAGCTTCTGTATGCTAGAGAGAGCAAACTGTAGTTGGATTTTGGCCTCCTGTTGCTGCAAAGACCACTTCTCAAATTGATCAGATTTGTGTGAGTAATACTGAGATTCCTTCAAACCTATAAATGAACCAATACATCAAGGAAATTAATGTAATCCCTTCTGTAAGGTCTGAGGCAAAGTTTTAAAAACAAAAAAGAAATGTCAAATGCTTGGGAATACTTAGGATCCTTCAAATAGCTCAATCCTGAAAAAGGGCTGAACATCTCCAAGAAAAACATTAAGTACCCTGCATTCCTAATGATTTCGAGAAATTTGGGAGGCACACCATTGTGCAGAACTTGAGCATCTGTTATTCAGATCATTGAAACACAGTTTTCATTGCTGAGGAGCTGAAAGAAGTATCGTAACTCATCAGAACTAA